GGGAGCAGGCCAGGCTGGCCGTCACTCACAGCTTCTCATGGCCCCAGCCAGCCTGCCAAGGCTGGACTTACGTGGTGAGTCAGGAGGGGAATCTCGAGCTGAGAGTGGGACCAGGCCTGGGCCCCACTACCTCTGTGTGGGGCTCAGGGAGGACTGGGACTTGCTCGAGGCCACACAGCTGTCTGGGGCAGGACCAGGCTTCTAGTGGGGTGCGTTTGGCCTCAAACTCAGGGCTCTTCCCAGTTCTCTGACCATGGGAACCAAGTGATGGACAATTCACATTTCCGAGTGGGGAAGTGGAGGCCACCCAGCTGTGGTGATGCCATGAGCTGGAGGTAGGTCTCTAGTGTCCCTGAAATGCCCTGGGGTGTCGGTGCCCCTGGAATCCTGGTGAAAACTCTGGTCACCTCCGCCCTCCTTGTTCCCCACAGGGATCCTGTTACGAGCACAGAAATCATGCCTGACACATGACGCCTTTTCTTAGATGGGTTTTCTAGTGGATTCCAAGAGACAGAGTGAAAACATGGTCGGCATCATGATAAAAGGGTGTGAGAGGACCTCAATACGAGGGGTCTGTCTGCATGAGCAAACTTGGGGTACACTCACCTTCTAGAAGGGAATACAGCTGTTTCACGTGCAGGAAGAAGAATGCATATTAAACTTGTGCGGGACCTGCAGACTTTGCAGACTATGCTTGCTCTCAAGAGGTCCCTAGAGTCCTGCACTTCCTCCTGGAGCATTCCTGGACATTGCCCCTGCTGGCAGACCCTGTAGTGGAGTGGTGGCACATTGGAGCTTGCTAGTGGCTGGTTATGAGCACCTCACCCTCCAGGAGCTGAGCGTGAGCGGCCTTGGCAGAACGTCTTGTTCTGAGTGTTCTGTAGCCCACCCTCTGGAGCAGGCAGTAGGGGTAACCCTGCCTGGAGACGGGGGAGTGGATGAGATGCCTTCGGAGGTCTCCACAGCCCCGCAGCCTTCCATGGACGTGGTGACAAGGCTGTCCCTGTCATTGCTGCTCCTCTGAGTTTCTGTGGTCAAGAGAGAACATGGGGTCTTGTCCCTAGCCTTGTGGTCTCTCCTCCTGGGCCTTGTTTCGCTCTGAGTACAAGGCGTTCAGTTCCCCAGAGGGGCCCGACCTGGGGAAGTGGAGAAACCACGTGACCAGGACCCTGGCAGGGTGCCGAGCTCATTCCTTGGACCTGGGGCCAGTCTGCTGCAGCCAGGAGCCTGGGCCTGCGGAGGAGGGTCCCTGCTATGGGCTGGCTGGGCGTGTAGCCATGTGGTAGCCAGACAGGGGAAACAGACTGGGAGAGGTGGCGGCCACGTGTCTTGCATGGCGGCTGCTGCTGAGAACCAGGGGCCCAGTGTTAGGGGCTCAGGGCTGAGGCTGGAAGTGGTGGAGGGATGAGGCAAGCAGGTGAGTGAAGGGCCTTGGGTGAGTCCTGGGCCACTGCCTCCCCATTGGTGCCATGAGGTGCTGGGGGTCAAAGACATCCCCAGCACTTTGAAAACCCCAGCTTTTCCCCAACCATTGTGCTCTTAACTGCAAAGCCTAGTTTCCTCTAGGTCACCTCTGCAGGAAAAGAGACTGGATGCGGACGGGATGGGCACCTGGGGTCACCCCGCATGCCCCAGCAGAGCCAGTCCCTGGCATCAGTGATGCTGTCTTTCTGTGCATTGGCTTGGGGGTGAGCAGGTTTGCTCGGACCTATACCCCACGTCCAGTCGGAGGACAGAGAATAGGCTCTGGAGTCAGGTGGCCTGGACTCAAATCCCAGCTCTGCTATCCCACAGCTGTGTGACTTTGCCCAAGTCTCCTGCCCTCTCTGCATCTTCATCTCTGCTCTTTCTTCATGTCAAAAAGGGGGCCAATCATAGGACCTGTCTCAGGGACCCTTGAGAGGTCCCACCATGGGCGTTTGCTGTTCCGTTGCCCTGCTGTCCTGCCATCGTTGCCCACTGGCTGTTCTCGGGCTCCTTTTTGTCTGTAGAAGTGATTCCCTTTGAGATTTTGTCCCCCAGTTTTGTGACAGCCTCTCCCTCGCCTGCACCTTGGAGACGTGCCCTTGTGGTGCCGCTGCTTGCCATGTGCCAGTGAGGGCTCAGTCGTGCGACGTCTCTGCTCATCCTCACTGTATTTGTCAGGGCCCAGCCAGACAACTGAGACTCAGGGATGTCCAAGGCTGGGGACCAGGACTAGCACAGAGGAAGCTGGCCTGGCACCTGAGTCAGAGCTGAGTCCTTGAGCCAGCTGGAGCAGCCTTAGAATGCGACCCGTGGGTCTGGGACCTGCCCGGTGTGAGTATGTCAGGCATCGCAGCCAGGACGGGAATCTGAGGTTGGGGGTGCTGTCAGCGTCTCCATCTGCCCCACAGTAGGTGACATGCCTGTGCTTAGCAGAAGAATCACCTTCCTTCCAGGCCTTGTCTAGGAGCTGGGCCAAGCTGAAAGGGTCCTTAGAGACTACCCCCTGCCAGCCCAACCTGAGCAGGACAGAGTGGGTGTGGAATGAAGGCCTGCCCGAGGACACAGGCAGCTGGAGGAGAGCCAGGGCTAAGCTTGACTCTGGACAAGCAGGGACATTCAGGTCCTGTCCCTCAAGGGGACCAGACCTGCCTGTGGAGTTGGCCAGACGCCCACTGGGCCAGTCTGCCACTTGTCCCCTCCTCTTCTGCCAGCCCCTGTACCCCAACTTCCATGGGCCAGGGGTGATAGAAGCAAAGCTTTTAGAAGGTGCCCTTGACCACAGCCCACCTGGCTGAGGTCTGCTGTCCCAGGAGGTGAGAGGGTTCTCCCTGACAGAATGACTAAGAGGAGTTGAGTTGGGGTGAGGCTGAATGCACAGGGGAGACCCCAAGTGTGACCTGGAGATGGGCCTGTGTACGTGCATATATGAATGCACACACGTACGCGCGCACACACGCCCCTCTGATGCCCTCTGCAAGAGGCTGGACACACGTTCCAGCACCTTCCGCACAGCTCGTAGCAACGCGACAGAGTCCAGAGGGGTGGGACCCAGGCTCAGCTCTGCCATATACTCACTTTATGACCTTGGCCAAGTGACGTTTCCTCGCTGAGCCTCGGTTTCCCTGTGTGTTAAATGTGGCCGGGAACCTTTTCCTTAAGGGTGAATGTCAAGCTCAAGTGAAGTTTTCCGTGCAAGGCGAGCATCGTGATGGGAGTGTCCTGGGTCCTCATGTCCTCCTTTTGGTATTGGATTGAGCCACTCCTCCTCTGTGAATGTCAGCTCCGCCTTTCTGATCCAAGAGGGCTTCCTGACAGAGGAGGGCTTTGGAGGGAGAGGGGTTGCGAGCAAGACCAAGCTGAAGGCCTGGAGGCGAACAGATCTCGAGGTTTCTTTGCGTCTTCGTCCTTGCTTTTTGAGTTTTGTTTTAAGGTTTGGTCTTTTGGGTTTTAACTACTCACTGGATTCCCAAGGAGGATTAGAAGCCAAAAACATGATTATCTGCCGTGAGGAATCTTCACTGTTTGAACAGCTCAGACATTCTCTGGTCAAGGAAACACGTGCTTTGTTTTTTATTAAATTTCTCTGGAAAAACAATGATTTGAATTCAAGAAAGGGAGGAGGACAGGTTTCCCCCAACTCGAGCTTTCTTTTGAAGTAGGAATGGAGCCCTGCCCCGGCCCCATGGCTGATGTTTTTCCAGCTGTCTGTCTCCCCAGGGAGCCTGTGGTGGCCTCCAGAGTGGGGTCAGGCAGGGGGCAAGGGGACCAGACCTGCTTGGGCCCGGTGGCTCAGCTCTTGGGGCTGCTAGAACTCACCTGTGGAGGTGGGGCTGCTGTTCCCTAGCGCTGTGACCTTGGGCGACCTTGCGTGCCCTTGCCGGTTGCCCTCTCACAGCCTCACTGAGTTATTCATAAAATGGAGGGTCGTGATACCACACGATGGCTTTCGAAGAGCATGTCACCATCAGAGGTCTGAGCTGGAAAACGCTACACAGGCCTTCCCCTTTGACCAATGGGAAAACCAGCGTCCGCAGGGGAAAATGATGCTCTTAAAACTCTCAGTGACCAGTCCAGGCCCAGACCCCATTCACATCCTGACCCCCAGTTCACATCCTTCCTACCCCATAGGGACCAAGTCCCAGATGAGGGGGTGGCGTTTGCATGCTGGGGACCTGAGGACCTTTTCCTGCCTTTCACAGTAGCCTGTCTCTGAGAAGTTGTTTTTTTTGGGGGTGGTGGTGGTGGGGGGCAGGCATATTTGTTGATGGAAGGGGTGACTCCTAACCCCTCTGCCTGCCCAGAACCAGGGAGTTAGACTGCTTGGGCATGGTTCTGTGTGCCCCCAGGGCCTGATGAATGCTATCCTGCAGGTGCAAACACTGACCTCGCCATGTCTCTTCTCTCTCGTGCCCTCAGGGGTTTCCTGGAGACTTTGGGGAGAGAGGCCCCCCAGGACTGGATGGAAGCCCCGTAAGTACTTCAAGGCTTCGAGAAGAGGAAAGATATTTAGAGCGAGAGCATAGTGGCTTTTAGGAGCTCAAGCTTTGGGGTCAGACAGACCTGGGATCACATCCCAGACCTGTGACCTGCTAGCAGGGTGTCCTTGGACAAATGACATGGCCTCTCTAGGCTCCTGTTTTCTCTGATACTCCGTGACAGCCTCCCCAGGGGAATCCCTAGCTCACTGAACCCCTGGGTCTGGAGCCTCATTGCACCCAGTCCCCAGGATGTAGGGAAGTTTAAGGTCCGTCCGCCCCCACTAGAGAGGGCCCAGCTGCCGCCATGTCACAGAACAGCAGGGATGTTTATGGCCGCAGAGGTCCGGAAAAGCCAGCGGTTGCAGGCCTGGTTTGCAGAGAAGAGCTGCGATCCAGAGGAATCTCTGCCCCGGCTGTGTTTATCGAGTTTGTAAATAACCAGGGCCCTGGGCTCTGTCCCATTGAGGAGCCAGGTCAGCCTGCCCTGAGCTGGGGCTGCCTTTCTCTTTCTGTCTCAGGCCTCATTCTGTAAGTGCAGACCGTGTTCAGGCTTTTGTCTGGTCACATTCAGACCCCTGTCCTGGTCTCCCTCTCCTGGGAGGAGGTTAGGGTTTCCTGCCTGAGTAGCAGAGGTGGCCGCTGGACCTGTGATCAGCACCTGATTATGTGATCTTGTGCTCAGTATGTGTTCTGAGAACCGACCCTGCCAGGGTACATCTTGACCTCAGAGCCAGACAGACCTAGGCTTGAATCCTGCTGACCACCCGCCAGGTGTGAGCTTAGACAACCCAGTTCCCCTCTCTGCATCTCAGTTTCCTCAGCTGTAAATCAAGGAAGCAGAATGCCAGTCTCACACCAGCCAGCGGTGTGATGGTTAAAGCAGCTGGATCTTACATAGCTGACTGCGTGGTTTGAGTCCCGGACCCGGTGGCTTGAAACATACACTGTACGTATGTGCGTGCATGCCCAAAATCTCAACAGGAGGGAGACAGAGGAGAAGGGATGCTGTGTGACCATTCCCCATGGGAGTACTCTGTCACCTCCTCTTTCTCTGTCTCTCTTCAGTGAGCACACATGCCCTCTGGCAGAGATAACTAAGTAAATAAATACAGAATGCCCATCTCAGGGTGCTGCCAAGAGAGTACCCCGAGGGCAGGGAGCTGTTCCACCCACCACAATAAAACACTAGGTAATCACACATGGTCCCTGCCCTGGAGGAGGTCACTGCTGTCCCCCTTCCCCTTCACACGAGATACAGGGAGATAAGTGGGAGCAGAAGCCCAGGTGCCACTGAGAAGGGGGCGAGGAGCAGGGGAGACTCCTGGGATGGTGACATTGGAACTGGGTGAGTAAAGAGATGTGGGGACATTGTAGGTGGAGATCCAAGCCTTTCCATCAATATGTATCACTTACTGGGTTATGCGGTATCATTCTAGGAAGTTCCGCAGGGAGGGGCAGGGATGTTGTTATCTCACGGCCCAGAGGAGCAGGCTGAGGACCTGAGGTCCCGTCTTAGCTCTGCCAGCACAGTGCTCAGTGACCTTGGGCAACTCACTTCCCTTCTCTGAGCCTTGGTGTCCTCATTTTATTTATTTAATTATTTTTTTTAGAGAGACTTTTGTCATAGGGCACTTTTGCTTACTACAGAGGCAGAGACAGAGAGAGAGAAAGTGAGAAATCACCCCCAGGGGGATGGCCACGCAGCAATCCCTTCTCCATTCTCCTCTCGGGATTTTGGGCACACACTAACACGCACCCAGCATGAGTTTAAGCTGCCAGGTCCAGGACTTCAATCATGGTCGACTACCATGGGAATCCGATGACATAGCCATTACACCATATGCTGGTCCCGGTGTCCTCATTTTAAAGCCAAGGACTTGGTGTACAGTGATGACCCTCCATCCGGGCAGGCTCAGTATTGCGCGAGGGAAGGAGACCACCCCGGGGTGTGAGCGACTCTCACTGCTAACCACAGTTCCTAGCGCCCCATCCTTATTCTCCTCTTCCCCTGTTGCACTTGGCTCTCACCCTTCCACCTGTCCTTTCTGGTGCGAGCAATGGAAGATCCATTCTTAGAGATGAGACAGCCGAGGCTTCGAGGGCACATCACACACAGCCCCGTCTCCTGACGCCCCAGCAAGGACTCTTTCCAGAGTCTCGAGGGCCCTGGAAGGAGGGACCCTGAGAGCATGGAGGACTGAGGAGGGGTCTCCAGGGCCCCCCACCTCCCAGATGGAGGAAGTGAGGGAGGCTGGCCTGGTGGCTCTCAGCTTGGAGCTGTTATTTCCTTGCTCCTGACCTTGGGAAAATAGCCTCTCAAGCCTCAGTTTCCCCCTCTGGAAAGTGAGAGTGAAATGCCTGGCGCCCTGGGCATTTCATCAGCACCAAGATTCTGCCCATTCGCGCATACTCAGAATTGGAATCTACTGGATTTCCAAGTCCAACCTCCCCATTTTACAGATGCGGAACGCCCATGGCAGAGGGGGAAGGGTCTTGTCCACACTCCAGGCCACACTCAGGCTCAGGAGAGTCACTGGAGCTCCTGATCAGGAGGAAGGAATGGCCAGTTCCAAAAGATCCTGTCAGGCCCACGTGGAGGATGGCATGGAGGGAGGGGCCCCGAAGGGAGACACGGCGAGTAACCACCTCGGTCTTCTGTTTGCAGGGAGAACTGGGCCTGCCAGGTCCCCCAGGAGTCCCGGGCCTCATCGTAAGTACACGGATGCCAGGAGGTGGGGTGGGGAGGTGGGGGAGAAGTGTGGGAAGCAAGAGGCAGGCCCTAGAGAAGAGGTTGCCCAGGCAACCTTTTTTATAAACCCCAGGAGTGGCTGGGGGGGCAGGGCAGACCACCCTGGGCAGGAGGGGACTGAGAGGAAAGCCCTACTGCAGGGCCTCAGGTGGGTCACTGCCTTCTCAGAGCCTGTTTCCTCATTGGTTGAATGGGGATGAAAGCGCGGAGCCTGAGACCGCCAACATACTTTCACGCCTGCTGCCGTTCACTGCCCTGCCAGGACAGTTGGGCGGCTGGTGGCATGCCTGTGTGACAGACGAGACGCTTCAGGTCCAGCAGGCACAGCAGCTGCGGCCCTGGACTGCTTTGGGCAATCGTCTTCGCCCTTTTCTTCAAAGCACTGACTTGGGAGCCAGATTTCCTGGATTCAAGTCACACCTCTGCCATATCCTGGCTGTGTGACCTGGCCCAAGTTGCTTAAAGTCTCTGGACGTCAGTCGCCTTATCTGTAGATGGGGATGACAGTGGAATCCTTTTGGAGTGAGTGGTTGTGAGGCGTGGCATGCCATCCCTGACATAGGATCTGCCTCTCAGTGAGTGCTCAGTTCGTGGGAAATATTATCACATTAATTACTGCTATGACCTGAAATGCCCAGGTCTGAGAGAGGCCTGTACATGTGTGGGTAGGAGGCAGTCTGACCTCTGACTCCATCCGGGCTGGCGAGGCCTTGAAGAGTGACTCAGTTAGCCAAAAACAGGGCCCTTCAGGGGCTGGGACCCAGGGGCCGGTGATGAGGGCTGTCCTACTAGAGACTCCTGGGGTTACAGCCTGGCTCTACGAGGACGTAACTAAATTTGCTCAGGACTGCATTGAATTACAACCCTGAGCAAATTTCTTAACCTCCTTGTGCCTCAATTTCTTCACCTATAAAATGGGGATAATATTAGTACCTATTTTGGTGGATTTTTTTTTTTTTTAGAGCTTTTTGCTAAAGGGCACATGCATTCGCCAGAAAGACAGAGAGAGACAGAGAGACAGAAAGTGAGAAATCACCCCCCCAGGGAGGATGGTCACGCCGCAAGCCCTCCTCCTCCTTCCGCCTCTCGGGATCTTGGGCACTCACGCACACGTGCCTGGCATGAGTTTAAGCCACCAGGTTCGGGACTCGAACCGCGGTCGACTACATGGGAGTCCAGCGACATAACCATTACACTAACTGCTGGTCCCTTCTTATTTTGGTGGATTGTTTATGGGATTAAATAAACTTACACATATGAAATGTCCAGTACCTAGTAATGCTTAAGAAGAATCTGTTACAGTAATGGCTATTGTTGTTGTATTACACACACAAATAGTTATGCCTGGCAGCTGATGTCTGCATTGCTGAATTGAGAAAGATTTCAAAGTCGCATTGGAGCTCAGTGGGAGAAGGTGCTGCAATTGTTTAGTGATGTCTGCCTTGGTGGGAGATGAAGCAGTGTCAATGAGTGAGTCACACGCTTGTCATCCCTGATGTCCATTCAACAGAACTTTGCCAGGCACCTTTTTTTGGCACAAGACACTGACCTAGATGCTTTGGAAAACACAATGTCTGCCATGAGAGTTAGAGAACTCTCTAGAAGTCTTCTAGTCCAACCTTTTCTGAGTCCAGCAGGACTCCCTTCTGGAGCATCTTGGTCATATGGTCGTTAAATTCCAACTTGAACACCTCTGGTGTTAAGAAACTCCCTCCCTCTCTGGGAGCCCAGTCCCTTTTAACAGAGCTGTCGTTGTTCAGTGTTTTCCTTTCTATCGAGCCCAAGACGTCCTCACTGTCCCTGGCAGAGGCGGTTCAAAGGCTACAGATTGTCGTCTGTTTTTCCTACGAATCCTTCTTCAGGATGAACCATCCCAGTCCCCAAAGCTTTTCCAAAGGGATGTTTACATATCCTGGCTGTCATCTTGGCATATGTTCCTATTTGTCATTGTCCCAGTGTCCACTAGGGACACTGTCCCAGTGTCTCTCGAGGGGCAAGGATAGTGCTTGGCTGGATAAATGCAGATTTGGAGACCAAGACTTTGCCACACGGTCTCTGCCCTCCTGGTTCTTTACCCAGTTCCTCCACCTCGGCTCTCCTCCGCTCTTCACAGTGAGGGTTGCCAGATAAAACATAAGCCGCCCAGCTAAAGCTGAATGTCAGATTTCATATTTAGAACACATTTATGTGAACACACTACTCGTTGTTTATCCGACATTCGAATTTAACTGGGCATCCTGGTTTTTTTTCATGTCTCCAGTCTGGCAGTAGGAGTCTCTTAGGAGACTCCTATTTAGTAGATGGGGAAACTGAGGCCTTTGATCAAGGTCACACACAGGCCCTTTCAGCCTCATTTCCCCCATTTTTGGATTCTCTTTGCTTTCAAAGTAAAGTTCTCTTTTTCCTTGTGCCTGGGGTTTGGGGGCTGGGTCTGAACCTATCGGGTACCACTGTTCCCTGCACAAGTGCCTCCTCCCATCCTGGATTTGGGGAAACAACAACTTCTGTGCTTGGGGCAAATTTTGCACTCCCTTCCCCCACCCCACCCCATGCACGCACACACACACAGAGTTGAAATAGGAAAGAATTTTCTAGCCGAGAGTTAAAGAGGAAAAGGGATCATGAGTCACCTATGGTTTTCCAGAGGATGTGGGTTTTTAGCTGAGCAAATGGGAATTCCACGTATTGATGACCACTTTAATGGAGATTCAAATGTATTCAATGCCTTCTGTCTAGTCCACTGAAGCAATTTGCATGCAGGCTTCGCAGAAGCTTCCCCGTCCCTCCGGGTCCTTGCAGTCAGAGGAAGGGCGGGAGAGGACAGACTAACATTTATTGAACGTCTGTCTGCTCCCGGTGCACTTGACGGGCCGTGGAAGCCTTGCGATGCCCGAGGTCACCAGCCGGGGAGCGGATGTGTTGGTCTGTAACCCAGGGCTGCGTGTCCCCCATCCCAACAAGCTGTGGTGGCTCCCTGCAGCCTTGGAGGTTAGAGTGCTTCAAGCAGCCCCCTTTGAGCAATCGAAACCCTTTGGCTGGCCCTCAAGAAAACTGTGCCTGATTCCAGAATCTGCTTAACAAAGACGATTTCTGTCTTTTTTTATTCAGAGTGACAGAGGGAATTTGGGCTCCTCTGTTTAATGAGCCCCAAAGAACACGTGACCTGGCCAGAAACCCAGCCAGTAGTCCACCATAGTGCATTCTGTCCCCACCATGGTGTATTTCCTCGTCTACAAAGTGAGGTCAGCCGCCAAACCTCATGTGCCGAACCCTTTGCTCAATGTCTTACTATCACAACGGCCCTCTGAGGGGGATCCCCTTTCATAAAACCGAGGCTCAGGGGACATAATGCACCTGGCCACGATCATGCAGCTGGTCACCTGATCGGTGCCTGTCTCTGCCGCTCATGCCCGTGACCGCTGCTCCACGCTGAGGCTCTGCAAGCCTTCCGAGGCAGCAGGTGTCTGATGGCACAGACGGAGCATTGCCAGGGACCGTTCTGGCATGAGAGAGATGCTTACAAAGATTGCATGGAGTCAAGGCTGGCCACCGTCCTCCGTCTCCTTCCGAACTTGCTGACCCTCTGTTGGGGTTTCTGCTGGTTGCCTTCAGAGGCAGCTCCCTGAAGGGTTTGTACATGAGCCGGTGGGTTTCCTTCTCACTGTTCATTAACTGACTTTTTTTTTTTTGAGAGAGATTTTTACTGTAGGGCACGTGTGCTCACCAGACAGACAGAGACATAGAGACAGAAAGCGAGAAATCACCCCCCAGGGGGGATGGTCACGCTGCAATCCCTTCTCCTCCATTCTCCTCTCGGGATCTTGGGCACGCACGCACACGTGCCCGGCGTGAGTTTTAAGCCACCGGGTCCGGGACACGAACCGCGGTCGACTACGTGGGAGTCCAGCAACATAGCCATTACGCTAACTGCTGGTTCCCCATTAACTGACTTTTGAGGTGTGGTTTCCATTCCCATCAAGTCACCTCTGCACTGACAAAGTAAGGCCTCGTTTAACAAGTGACAAGAATACAAGTGACACTGGTTACGAGGAATTTCACGTGTTCCAACTCACGGTCCTTGGGACTGTGTCCTCGTCGGGGTCACAAAGGTGAGGTCCCTAGGCTGGTGCCTGTCGTTGATCTGGTGGCAGGGCAGGTGGTGGCCCCCCAGCCCACACATAAATGGCATGCAGCAGGGAAAGGACCCTGAGCCAAAGCCATGGGGCTCTGGGCCTGATGGCCAGTACGCGCCATGCTCTCAGGTCTGGGACGTGGTATTCGTGCCGGGAGTAGGGATACACAGGCATTAACAAGGAGAACGGAGGACAGAGCACCCCAGACACGGGGAAGAGCTTTGCCAGAGTCTGCGGGCGAGTCAGTGGCCCAGGACGTCTAAGCTAAGGAGGAGCAGTGAGGCAGGAAGGTTTGACATCCATCCTGAAAGTGGGGGTACTGGAAGCAGCTCCCTGGCACACTGCATAGGGTATCTGCCAGCCTGTAGGGGAGCAGAACTCACCCCTCTGTCTGCATCTTGAGCCTGTCTTTACACCTTGCCATGTAAGGGTGAAAGAAGAGTGTCCTTGGGTCCTTTAGAGAAGTCAGCCCAGGGCTTGTAGGCCTGGGTGGCAGGGTCAGACAGACAGCCAGACCCTGGTCTGGTCTTGCCTCTGCCTGTTATTCATTGCTTAACCTTGGGCGTTTCACTTCTGTCCAAGCCTCAGTTTTCCTGTCAATCAAATGGCATGGAACTGACAATGGCACTGCCCTCAGGAAGGTTACTGTGAGCAGCTAGTGTGTGCCTGAGCCTCCAGCCCCTTTCCTGGCGGGATCAGCACCCAGAATAACATTTAGCTGCTGGTGGGACCAGCAGTTAGCGTAATGGCTATGTCACTGGACTCCCATGTAGTCGACTGTTGTTCGAGTCCTGTCCCCGGGGGCTTAAAACTCATGCCAGGCGTGTGTGCGTGTGTGCCCAAGATCCTGAGAGGAGAATGGAGGAGAAGGGATTGCGGCGTGGCCATCCCCCCCTGGGGGGTGATTTCTCACTTTCTGTCTCTCTCTCTCTCTGTCTGGCGAGTGCACACGCCCTATAGCAAAAAGCTCTCCAAAAACAAACAAACAAACAAATACCATTTAGCTGCTGTTGACAAGGGCTCGAAGTGGCTAGTGAGGCATCTGGCACTTAGTAGGGCTCTTTAAATGGTTGCAGATGCAGCTGATGGTGTTCTCGCTGGGAGTCAGAGAGATGAAGGACAAAGCCTGTAGCTCCCCAGTGTCTGGGAGCTTAGAGACAAGTGGAAACAGGATGCAAATGAAGAGCCTTACTCATTGTTCTTTCTTGTGGGCATATGACATTCTTTATGTCTCTGGCCAAGGTTCCCCTGAGGGTGTCTAGCGCAAAGCAGACGGATGCTCTGCTAGACGAGTCCTTTGCAAGCTCCCAGCAAGGTCGCTGGAATTTTCTCTTCCGGTCCTAAATGTGTTGATAGCCCAGTCTTGGGTGGGGGTGTCTCACCAACATGGGCAAGACCTGCCCTGTGTGAGCTGCCACCTTCCTCGTGTGCCACACACGTGCAGACAGGTTGTCTTTGCCACGGGTCCCTTCTCCCTTGAGGTTGGATGTCCTCGCTAGGTCCTGCTGGCCCTTAGCATGCATAGACCCTTCTGAGAGGCTGCAGAGGCAGCAAGTGGGCCCCGGGCATTGTGGTGCTGTGTTGCGGTTCCCTGCGGCCCCACGCAGGCCACCATCCAGCCTGTATTGAACTTGGTCCCCACACACCAGCTGCCTGCAGGCTGGAGTGAGGAAGAATGAGCCCGTGTTCCTGGGGCTGCTGGCTGGGCCTCTGCCCATGGCCCCGGCCCAGCTGGAGCGGCCTCTTCTTGCAGAGCCTGCTCTGTTTATTTGCGCCACCCCTCGGCCCTTCATCCAGGAAAAGAGAGGGAGAGGAGCCTGGCCAAGGGGCCTGTGGAAACGCAGCTCTGGGGGACTGGCTTTTCCTCTGACTCTGGCCAGGCCAACGATCCGGCGTCCCCACTCCATCCTCTCTATGCTTTCCAAAGATGACTTCAGAATTACCTAGAAGCTCTGGAGATGGACTGCCTGCTGGGAATCCCAGTCTGCCTGGCCTGCACTTCTACCTTCTCAGAGCCTCAGTTTCCTCATATATAAAGTTGGGGTTGCACAGAGTATCCTTCCTTTCTTTTTTGGTGTGTGTATTCACATTTTGCCAGAAGGTGCACATGCTCACCGGAGACAAAGGGTAAGTGAGCAATCACCCCTGGTGGGGGTGGTCATGCTGCAATCCCTTCTCCTCTATTCTTTCAGGATTTGGGGCACACATGCACATGTGCCTGTTGTGTTTTTCGAGCCACCAGGCCCAGGATTCGAACTGCATGATAAGCTGTGTGGTATCCAGCCACTTTAACCACCAGGCCACCATCTGGCCTTAGAACAGAACTTTAAGGCTGTTATGAGGAATAACTGAGTCGAAGCATGTGAAGTTCCCTGTAACCAGTGTCAGTTGTGTTCTTGTCACTCTTTAAACTGAGGCCTTACTTTGTCAGTGCAGAGATGACTTAATGGCCACTGAAAGCAGAATTAGTTAGTAAAGGCTCAGGTGGGAGGTTTTGCTTAACCAAATCACATGGGAATCCTGATTGCCAGAGTGTTTTTTGCCCCCTAAGTTCAGTGCATGGCAGGGCCAAGGCCAGGCTCCAGTCATTCTGGGGGTGGGGGGCTGAGGGCCTCTGCCAGGTCAAGCTGCTGTTTGTGAGCTGTCTGTCCATCTCTCCTCAGGGCACTCCACTGCACCGAACCCTGGGCCCTTTCTGCAGGAGTCAGGCAGGAATGTGGTCTTTCGTTCTCTGCCTGGCCTCCCTCCGAGACGTCTCCAGGCAGCCTCAACAGGAACTTGAGTCCCCATTCTCCAGCCTGGCTCTCTGGGGCAGGCTGCATTCCTCTAGAGCTTCAGCGCTGTGCCCTGATCTTGCAGCACCTGCCAGGGGCCACCACAGAGCCTGACTCGGGAAGGGGGCACACTGAGGCCCAGAGGGGCCGAGCACGTTGATTGTAGCCACACAGTAGAGAGATACTTAGATCAGTCGCCAAGGATGGGCAGAAGGCAGAGGAGAGTATTTTCAGGGGCTCTTTCTGGATATGGGCTTTACGTTGTGACCTTGGTGGATGGTGGTAGGGATGGTGTGGGCAGAAGTGAGGTCTGAGAAAGAGGGCCGGCTTATTAGGAAGAGAGGCAGTGACTTCCTTCCAGAGCAGAATGGGGTTTGACCTTGGCGGTGTGGATACTGTGGGCTCCCAGAGCAGAATGGGGTTGTTTGACCTTGGCGGTGTGGATACTGTGGGCTAAGTTCTCTGTTGCGGGGGAGGCTGTCCTGTGTGCCACAGGAGTATAGCAGTGTGTCCCTGGACCCTATGCACCAGCTCCCCTAAGTGCGATGACAAAACCACATCCAGATGTTGCCTGGTGTTCATGCATGTTAACTCAGTGAGTCCCGAGACAAGCCTAGGAGGTACACAGTGTTGTGAACCCCCACTTGTTACATGAGGAAATCGAGGCACGGAGGGGTTAAGCTCCCCCAGATCACACAACCAGGGAGTCGCAGAGAAGAGTGAGACCCAGTGGTCTGATCGCCATGTGACACTGCCCCTGCCAGGCGTGCTGAGCCTCATGGAAGAACAGCTGTGAACGGAGCTTGGCTTTCCAGGTCCAGGAATGTTGCCGTTCCCGCCTCCGACAGTCCAGGCTCATCTGAAGCGGGGCCTCTAACCTGGGCCTGGAACCCTGCTGGCCCATCTTAGCATCGACAGGATCCATCACTGCTTCGGAGGGCTCTGGGGTCAACGGCCAGCTGCCCTCCCAGAGAGATGGCCAAGCCTCTGGGAAGCAGAGACGTGCCTCCCCCTCCCCCTTTCCCTGCTCCCATCTCTTGCTGTTTCATTCTCAGCTCTGGAGGGGAGGAATCATGGTCCCCTTTTATAGTGAAGCAGCCTGAAGTCCATAGAAGTCAGAGGAAAGCCTGAGTCCCTTAGCTCAGCGCTCCCGACCTTTTCAGCACCAGTTTCGGGAAGATAGTTTTTCCACGGACTGGGAGAGACAAGGGTGCAGGTGGGGGTGGCTCATGAGCGTGCTCACCTAGGTTCCTTGCATGTGCAGGTCACAGTAGGGTTTGGGCTCCTAGGAGAATCTAGCACCCAGGCTGATAGGACAGGAGGCGGAGCTCAGGCTGTGGTAATGCGAACGATTGGGAGTGGTTGGAAATATGAAGAAGTAGCTTTGCTCACCAGCCCACTGTTGGCCTCCTGCTGTGCCTCCATTTCCTTTTAATTTTTTTTAGAGTGATTTTTGCTGTAGTGCAGGTGCACTCACTGGAGAGACAGAGACAGAAAGCCAGAAATCATCCCTTGGGGGGATAGCCATGCTGCCATCTCTTCTCCATTCCACTCTCAGGAATTTGGGCGCACACACACACACACACCCACATGCACCGGGCTTGAGTTTTAAGCCACCAGGTCCGGGACTTGAACCATGGTAGTCTAAGGGACTCCAGCGACAAAGCCATTACGCCATCTGCTGGTCCTACGTCCATTTTCTAACAGGCCACAGAGCAGCACCATAGCCCAGGGGTGAAGCTGTCAGGGATCTAATGTGAGGTAGAAATACCTAATAAAGACGTGATGGGAGGAGCAGCAATGGCCAGGTGAACGTGGGCAAGGAGCTACGTGCTACTCCGGCACGGCGCTGAGGCAGAGAGGAAGAGCGACATTCCTAATCCCAACATCCATCCATGGAGTCAAGCCAGGGACCCCGGAGGCCACCCCCAGGCCAGCCTGCTGTGGGCTACCTCTCATGCATCCTCTTCTCTTTCTCTTCCCAGGGTGACATGGGAGCATTGGGTCCGATTGGTTACCCAGGACCCAAGGGCATGAAGGTAAATAAGAGTGGCCTCCTAACTTGGGGCCAGCTGGGGAACCGCCTGACCTATTTCAGCCCAGAAGGAAGGGTGGCCTTAGATGATGTTGGGGGCAGGGAGGACAGTAGGATGGCCCGAGGGGTACTGGGGCGGAAGCCGGGCTGGTCTGGAGCTCAGCTCTCTGGCCGGGGAACTGGTCACCATCTGTATGTCATTTAGGCCAGCCGTCTTTGTTGGACAGCAGCTCTTGAGCTGAGTGTGAGCCCGATGTGGTTCCGGGCCCCAGGGCACTGACAGTACAGTGGGGACATCGCCAAGGGCATATGGCAGACCAGGGAACTCGTCCATCCCTGAGTGGAATGGGTGTGCAGGAGGACAGGCTGAACCCGCTAGGAGCACGCTCCGGAGACGGCCCCTTTTGGCCAGCCTCTCCCTCCCCTCAGCTCCTCCTTCCTCTGGGTTTGTCCCCAGAACTGGTTCACCGGTCAGCTGCCCTTCTTTTAGCTCCTTCAGTCCACACCCCTCCCCAGTGAGCTGGGAGTCTACCCAGTCCACACCCCTCCCGTGTGAGCTGGGAGTCTGCCCCTCTTACAGATGTGAACACGGGGGTAGAGGTCTCACGGCACGGCCATCAGTGGGTGGGAGCCTGCTCCTGGTGCTGTCCTCACAGCTGGCCTCTGGCCTTTGTCTTGCAGGGACTGACGGGCAGCGTGGGGGAGCCCGGACTGAAAGGTGATAAGGTGATCTGAATACTCCCTTATTGCACTGTGGTTTCTCTGCATGCCACCCCTGCCTGGATGCTGCCGCTGATTGCTCGTCAGGTCCACACCCTGCACCCTTCCCGCCTCTCTCTGACCCCTACACTCCTGCTCCCCAGCTTCCTCCGGGTCACTCTGAGTGGGGCTCAGGCAGGTGGTTTTGGGGGTGTACAGACTTGATGGACAGAGCATGGGGGCTATGGAGGCAGGGGTCGGGGGATGAGTCCAGGCAGGTTTCTGAGTGCAGGAAGACAGCCGGGGAAGATCTGGGCTCTGAGCGCTCGAGAGTGGGGATGATGGTTTAAGAAGAAGAAATCCATGTTAGCCACAGCTTGACTGGGAGCCCAGCCCCAGAGAGCGCATGGGCTGCAAATGCAATGCAAACCCCAAGACCAGCCTCAGCCTCTACCCTGCTTCTCCTGCAGCTGCTGGGGGCCAGGGGCCAGGGGCCAGGGGCTGGGAGGGCGCGTGTGGGAGGGAAGCCGCCCTGCCATGTGTGCTCTGTGCAGCGCTGCTGCTGAATTCGCGCTGCCATCCTGCACCAACCCAGAGCTGGAGACGAGTGGCCAGGCCACACGGCATCTCGGCAACAGAGATAGGGGGCCCAGCACTCGCTGTAGCTAACTTCCTGCCTTCCCCCCTCGGTCTTTTGGCAAAGCAGGAACCAGGTGTGGGAGGACTGTAGGGCAGCTTTCCAAGTATCCACAAGAGACCTGAGGGGAGAGCTGCTCGGCCGCTTGTGGTCAGGCTTGTTCTGCACCTGTCTTTAGATGACTCCGACCCCTCCTACACCTGAGTCATAGGAACAGGTGCCACGTGCTAGCGCTGAATGCTCGGCACGGATTAACTCTGTAATCCTCCAAGCCCTATGAGATAAGAAGCTTGCCCGAGCCCACATGGTTGGTAAGCAGAGGGGCAGGATTTGAACCCAGATCCCTGACCTCAGAGACCTCAATCATTAAGCAGAATCGAGCTCAGAAGATCAGAGCCTTCTGGGATATCCCCTTCTCTAGTGTCTACACTTCACAGCTGGGGAAACTGAGGCCCGAAGATGGGGAAAAAAGGAAATTCAGTGATTTACTGGGGGAGCCAATCCAAGCTTTTGGACTCTTAAAAAATTCAAACTGCTGCGTGAACATGGACATGTCCCTCCCGGGAAGCCAGCTGATGCGAGGCTAACCCCAGCCCTTCCCCTACCTGCTGCCACTCTTCCCACCACTTCCTGTCACACCCAGGCCTCTATCGGCAACCACCCCCGCCTCCCTGACTCGAGCTCCCCACTGCCTGCGGCGACCCTCTTCCAGGGGCCTCTCTCACTAGGGAAAGGAGGTTTCTGTTGGGGGAAGGGGGTCCCCACACCCACCTGCTTGCCCTGAGGCTTGAGACCTCAGTACTCTGGAAACACTGAAGTCATGGACAGGGAGAGAGGAAGCTGGGAAAATCAGTGCAGGGCGGGAGCGTTTTATAGGCCCCGTGGCAGGGCCGGCCTCCAGCGCACTGTTGCTCAGGAACATGGAAATAAATGTGTTACATGGAACCCGCTGGCGTGCTGCTGCCTGCTGCCTGCTGCCTGCCTGGGACATGGACAGATGCAAAATCATTGGGGGAAAAAGGAAAAAAAAAGAAAAAAGAAAAGAGAAGGAAATTATTTTCATACTCTTAGTTTTCAGGAAAATCAAATAAGTCTTTGGGGTAAAACGGAGAGAGAGAGAGCTTTTCTGATCCCCGGGTGGGGTGGGGTCTTGGTGTTGTGTTCAGAGTAGCCACACACATACCTGCCCCCTTGGCCCTCCTCTGGGATGACAGAGCCTTGATCCCTGCTCCCTCCTGCCTGGAATCCCAGTTTTTCCATGATCCGGCCTGGCTTCAGTCCCGCTTACAACCACTTGGCTTCCTCTCCCAGCCCGGAGGCGCATTCTGGGACAGAGGCCCCTGCTCCAGGCGCAGCTCTCTCCAAACCCATTGTCCTCATGTCCTAGGCGCCTGTTCAACTCTCTTTTTCCTGTTTTATTTATTTTTTTTCCTCCTTACTTTTGCCTGTGGACATTTTTTTTTCTTGTGGACATTTTTTAAAAAAAATGTTTCTTGGTTCCTAAAACTCTAGGATGTTGTAGGATTTTCCAAATTGGAAAAACCAAAGCATGTTAATTTTTTTTTTTTTTTCTAATTCTAGCTTTGTTCTAGCAAGGAGGTTCTTCTGCTGGGTCATGGCCTTCTCTGCACAACCTGCGTTTTCTAAGATCCTCCGTTCTTCCTGGGTTTTTCTTCCCAGTCTTCTTCCAGCTCTCAGGGCTGGGAGTGTTTCCTGAGTTCTGGGGCCAGAGTTGTTACCGTCCAGTGTGGAGGGCTGGAAAGGGCAAGGACTTTGCCAGGAGGCTCTAACCCGAAGGGGCCAGAGCTCCCTGTCTGGTCTGTGAGGCTTATTTACCAGGCTGTGGCTGAAGACAGAGAGGGAGCCAAGGAGGCCTCTGGCCCCAGGACTCCTCGTCACCACGCCTATGCAATGCATGCTCTTAGAGAAGAACCCCCAGACCTACCCCAGGACCTGCTTGCTCTGTTTCACATTCTTTTTTTTTTTTTTAATAAGGTTTTTGCCATAGGACGAGTGTGCTCACAGGAGGAGAGACAGAGAGAGGGAAAGTGAAAATCATCCCCCAGGGTGATGCCCATGCCACCGTCCTTCCTCCATTCTACTCCTGGGGTTTTGGGCACGCATGCACATGTGCCCTGTGTGATTTTCAAGCTGCCAGGCCCGGACTCAAACTATTATTGGCCATGTGGGAGTCCAGCACCTTAACTACCGTGCCATCTGGTACCCCCTTGAACAGTCTTTCTTTTATTTATTTATTTATTTTTTTAAAAGAGATTTTTGCTATAGGGTGCGTGGTGCTTGCTGGAGAGACAAAAACAAAGAGACAGAAAGTGAGAAATCACCCCCCCGGGGTGGGGGATGGCCATGCTGCAGTCCCTTCTCCTCTATTCTCCTTTTGGGATCTTGAGCTCACATGCATATAGCCCTGGCATGAGTTTTAAGCCACTGGGTCCGGGATTCAAACTCCAGTCGGCTTTGTGGGAGTCCAATGATGTAACCATGATGCCACTTGCTGGTCCCCCCTTCCACATAGTCTTAACAAGCCAGCTGCTCAGGCTGTAGCTGAGTGACAGCTATTATCAGAGGTAGACTTAAGCTGGGTGCTGGCTGGCAGGACAGGACAGCTCTCAGCCTAGCAGTGAAAACCCCCAGTGGCAGACACAAGCGCTCGGAAGCCACGGCAGTGTGGGGCCATTGTACAGGCCGCCTTTACCCCACACGACGATGCCAGTGCGGAATGAAGAGGTGGACAGAGCCAGGAGCCGTGCGTTTGCTCTGCAAGCGTCAGTTCTCCAGGCAAGGCCAGGTGACGGTGGGCAGCCAGTTTGTGTTCGTGGCATTTCCAGCCACGTGAGCAGCCCCACACAGGTCTGCACGTAGGCCAGCTTGTCCCTGCCAGGGCCTGCTCTCCTCACTTGGGTGGCCCGACCTTCCTCACGAGGATGCTGCTGGTCCAATCTGACGTGGGGCACACTGCGGCCAAGCTGTACCTTGCCAGAGGGTCTGAATGTGGGGGAGGCTTCCAGAGGCTGCACAGTCCCCATCGTAACCTTCTCTGGTGTATACTCAGGGTGAACAAGGGGTTCCAGGTGTGTCAGGAGATGCCGGATTCCAAGGAGACAAGGTAACCCACCAGGTTCTCTCCCACTTCTGCCCTGCCCTGCCCCGATGTTCTCTGGTCCAGGCCTCCTTCCTGGGGACTGTCATGGGCCAGGACCTGCCTGCGACATGGCTTCCTTCCAGACAATCCCATCTCTCCATCCTCAGTCATCTCTGCCCTGGACTTTACAATGGCCTCCTGACTTCCAGGCCTCCAGCCTCCTCCTTCGCAGTTGAGCATCCTCACAGCCACCAAATTGCTCATCTGAGGGTAGATGAGCCTTCTGCTCTGTGCTCCCACACCACCCATGGCTCCCTACTGCCCTCAGAGTGAAGTCTCCACTAGGGACTTGGGACCCCAAACCGCGGGTCCCTCTGACACTCTCCTTCCTCACCCTCACAGCCCTGGGCTCCAACCCCCCCAAACTGCCACCTGAGCCTCTGGCCTCTACACAGGCAGCGGCCTGTGGGACACACCCTCCGTCCAGCCGGTCTGCATCTCCCTGCCCAGGGGCCATGAATGCCTTGAGCAGTACATCTGCCCCTCACTTGCAGCATCGTCTTCTCCCCCTGGTTTTGGGGAACTTTTGTTCAGCCCCCTCCAGATGATGAGGTCTCTGATAGAGCTCAGCTCAGGGTCCCGTGCTTCGCAGACAAGTTGGAGTGACTGAGGGAGTGAGCAGCTGGCCTCCCTCTGAGCAAAGGGACAAACCCAGGTGGCCTTGGCCAGGAGAACCCTGCTGGGGCCTGCCATGACCAGCTTCTCGCTGCCTATATCCGGAACCACGTGGCCCCCTCTGGACCTCTCTCAGCCAGGCAACGGGCCCGGGATGTTGGCCTGAACCCCCTATTCCTCCTCCTTCCCTCCTCGCTGGCCTGTCCTGACTCACCTGGTGTCCCCAGGTTGCAAGCTTCTCAGCTCCTGCCAGGCCCCAGGCCTTTGGGAGTTCCCCAGGTATAGAGGGCACTGTGGTGCCTCGTGGAGCCCTTTCCCCCTGCCCCCCCCTTCTTATTGTAGGTGGCACTACTCTCTCACCCTGGCATCCCTCAGGCAGCCTATAGGGCACCAGGCGGCCCGGATCCAAGCTGAGGCCTGCAGCAGGGAGAGCAGGGGAGGAGCTCACCCTCCTCAAGGGGGCGCTCCCACCTCGGGCAGCAGGAAGGACCAGGCAGCAGTTCACCTGGCCATGTCTCTTCCTCACTAACCCTGGCCTGCTCTGGTTTTTTTTTTTTTTCCAGGGGAGCCAGGGGTTCCCGGGGTTGCCAGGTGCACGGGGGAGGCCAGGGCCTCTGGTAAGTACCTTTTCCTGCGATGCCCCAATCACATAACCTCCTGGTCGTGGCACATGGCTGGGAGCGCTTTCACAGCTAAGACTATTTTCTCTTGCAGCAGCCGTTAGGGGTAAACAGGGGAGGGCAGAAATAGTAATTTGGGGCCAGCCTATGGTGTTAAAGCAGCTGGATCACACATGGCTGACTACGTGGTTTGAGTCCTGGACCCAGCAGTTTAAGAAACATGCCAGGCGTGTGTGCATGTGTGTCCCAAATCCTGAGGAGATGAGGAGAAGAGATTGCAGTGTGGTCATCCTTCCTAGGGGCTGCTTTCTCATCTCTCTGTCTGGTGATGAGTGCATGCACCTTATAGTCATAAACCTAAAAAAAAAAAAAAGCAAGCAAATTTTTACAGAACACTATCGGGAGAGAAAGAGTTTCAAAAGGAATATTCGGGGATCTCAAACTTCAGTGTGCACGAGTCTCTGGGGATCTTACGGAAGCAGACTCAGTGGGGCCTCAGGGTCTGCGTTCTGATAGGAAGATGTGGCAGTTGCTGGTCCGTGCACTGCTCTTTAAGTAGCAAAGTTCTAGAGAAGATTTAAACCGAGTGTGTGAAGGAGTCACAGGTGGAAAAGAGGAGAAAAGAGTGAGACTGAAAGAGTCAGAAGGCTGGCGGGTTTGAATATCTCTCATGCTATTAGGTGTTCATGCTAATCTCTAGGCATTTATCTAATGATTCTCAATCAGTACATTTAGTTCACGGTAGACATTACATTTTTCCCTTTCCGAAAGTCACTTGTTTATGATGAAGATCCTGGCTCACTTCTCCCTGGATTTATCTATGCATTGTTCCTTTCAGACATCTGTGTTCTATCGCAGTACAAAAAATTTCTTCCCTGACTCAAATTTTTAATGGCCCATAATCAAGAATCATGTAACACAAGGATTTTCTGCTCAATAATGTACTGTGATTTGGCATTTTAAAGTTTTCAAATCAGGGTTCTTGAATTTCTCTAGCAGGTTGGCTTCGTTTGAAGGTTTTGCTGATGTAGAATGTTAAAAGAGAATTTTTTTAAGTATAGAAAAGGTGAGATAGGCTGATAGTGGAAATGCAATAATTTTCTGGGCTAGATAGATAAAAACATAAAGTGTGAAGTCAGTATGGAGGAAGAATAAAATATAATAGAAAAGGTGCATCCTTTACCTACTTTTGCTTACTTTTCCTTTTCTATTAACGTGCAAGTTGTAGCAGAATACTCCAGATATTAATCCCTTGCTAGTTTTAAACATTATAAACATATTCTCCCAGCCTTTATCATTCTCTCAACCTGCCTACAGTGTTCTTCATTGGATGGAAGTTCTTAATTTTGACATTGTGAAAAAAACACGAAGGATATTATATCCTTAGTGACCTGTGCTTTAAAAATCTCCTTTAAGAAGTATTTCTTGGGAACCAGCAGTTAGCGTAATGGCTATGTCACTGGACTCCCATGTAGTCGACCGCAGTTCACGTCTCAGACCCGGTACCCAGCAGTTTAAGAAACATGCGGGATTAATGTTTGTGCACGCCCCAAATCATGAGAGGAGAATGAACAAGAAAGGACTCTAGGGTGGCCATGCCCCGGGGGAGATTTCTCACTTTCCCTCTCTCCTACAAGTGTAAGTGCCCCATAGCAAATTAAAAATATTAATCAATAAAAAGAAAGAAAAAAGATAGGATGATTTGGCCACTTGACAGATGAGGACACTGAGGCCCCGAGGAGTGGTAACTCACCCAGCGTCATAGATAGGCCTCGGTCAGACGGAGCTCTGATGGGGATCGGGAGACCACCAGAGGGTCATTGGAAGCAGTGGGACATTTATTGAGTGGAGCCCTGTGGATGCTGCTTCTCTGAAGGCTGCCCACAGCCACAGCGTTGGGGAATTATCGTTGCTTCCACTTTATGGATGGGAAAACTGAGACTGAATGGTGAAGTGACGTGCCCAGGTCCTGTGGCTAGGACATGGAGGAGGCGGAGTTTGAACAGCTCCTTCTGTTGTCTGAGCCGATGTCATCCACATACTCTCAAACCTTCCAACTGCTCACAGCCAAGGGACAACGCTGAGCTCCCACTTACCCCTGCCTCCCACTGCGATCTCTCTTCCACAGGGCAAAGTCGGAGACAAAGGATCTCTTGGGTTTCCTGGTCCCCCTGGACCCGAGGTATGTGCTGCCCCCTTTCTCTGTCCAGCTATAGCTGGGACTGGGTCTTGTCCTTGCGAAACTAAGGCCCAGAGACAGGAAGGTCTGGCCTGAGGTCACACAGCAAAAGAGAGATGAGGCAGAGAGCAGAAATTCCTAGCCGAGCAGCCTCCTTTCTGCCTCTGCTCTTCCTGTCTGACCAGCGGCTCTCAAGGACAGCGGGGATGAAAAGCTGACCTCACTGTCCGTCTCCTGCCTGTGGTCCGGGAAGGCCCTCTGTGCCCTGCCTCCTGGTCTCCTCACAGGAGCGCCCCACATGCTCCACCCACAGGGCCCTCTCAGAGCCCTTCTCTTTCCTAACCACCCTGGGAAGGTTCTGAGTCAGACTCCCAGGGAGGGGGATGAAAGCCATGCTGAGTTCTGGGTTTTGAATGGAGAATGAGAATTAATGAGGGGTGCATTTGGCAATTCCTCCAGCAACTCTGGTCCAGCAGGAGAATCCCTGGGAGTTTCTGATCCATGGGCTCGTGGGCGTAGGTAGGCCAGGCCTTGGTTGTTTGCTTGGCGTTCACGTGGAACAGAGTGGAGCAAGCTGGCTGAGTCCTCCTGACCCTCTTTCTTGAGCATGAGACCCATGTCTGGACAGCTGGGATGAACGGCATCCAGGGCTGGGGTCCATCTCAGGGTCATCAGCCCAGACCACCCTGGCCGAAGCCCCTGCCCCCAACCATCACTCCCTGGTCCCCGGGCTTGCTCATCCATGAGGTCTCTGCATCTGAGACCAAAGTCTGGCTCCGCGGGATCTCCAGACTCTTCCAGAGCTCGCTCCGGGTTTGGCCCAGATGGATGAGGGAATGTTTCCTAAAAGCTACGAGTTGTGACTTTCTGCTGTGTTGACTTTGGCCGTGGCACAGGCCTATCTTTAGACAAACGGATTTGGCCTCTCCTCCATGGCCCCGATTCCCTCCTTTGGTCACTGGAAAAAGCCTTGCCGAGAGCGCGGGTTTCCCAGCAGTCTGGCCAACGAGGGTGGAGAGCAGGCTCCCTCACACCTAGCAGGCACCTGCTGGTGCCAGGAGGCCATGGGGTATCTCAGGGATAAAGACCTGCTGACGCGCCACAAGGCCGTAGTCGGGCGGAGGCCCTAGCTTCC